ACCGCGAGATCGTGACCTGGCTGAAGTCGGACGCTTAACTGACTGTGCCACCCAGGCGCCCCTCGATCTTCCGGTTCTTAGCAGAATCAAGTAAACGTAAGGTAAGACTTCTATTTTTTTTTTTAATTTTTTTAACATTTATGTATTTATTATTGAGAGACAGAGAGAGACATAGTGTGAACAGGGGAGGGGCAGAGAGAGAGGGAGACACAGAATCCTACACAGGCTCCAGGCTCTAAGCTGTCAGCACAGAGCCTGACGCAGGGCTCGAACCCACAAACCGCGAGATCGTGACCTGAGCCGAAGTTGGATGCTTAACCGACTGAGCCACCCAGGCACCCGAGTAAGGTAAGACTTCTAAAGTAGGGGTAGAAATAAAAACTGATGACCTTGGCCAGCAAAGCCATTAGAAGACAAGAGCTGGAGGCTGCAGGCACAGCCTTGCCTAAACACATTTAATTGGCATAAATACCTACACAACATAGAGACCTAGACTATTTATGATAAACCTGAATTCTCCGGGGGCACCTGGGTGGCTCAGCCGGTTGAGCGTCCAACTTCAGCCCAGGTCATGATCTCGCGGTCCGTGAGTTCAAGCCCCGTGTCAGGCTCTGTGCTGACAGCTCGGAGCCCAGAGCCTGTTTCAGATTCTGTGTCTCCCTCTCTCTCTGACCCTCCCCTGTTCATGCTCTGTATCTCTCTGTCTCAAAAATAAACATTAAAAAAAAAAAACCCTGAATTTTCCAAATCTGAAGCAGTTTCCTTGATGTTTACATCCCCAACCCCACCAACTTCTTACTAAGTTCTGATTAAATACCCTGAAATCAGAGTCCCGGCCAGCTTTAAGAGAGCGTATTAGCTGGAGCTCTTAGCTATAAACAACAATGACTGACTTGAGCAGAGAAGGAATTTATTGAAAGGATACCAGGTATCTCACAGAATCTCTGGGATAGCTGGATGAGCAGGAATGGCAAATAGGCAGAAATAAAGGTAGCTAAGTCGTCCACCCCCAACTGAAACATGGTAAAATCTATTCTGGTAAAAATGCTGCTGCACCTCAGGGGGCTAATCTCTGGACAGCAGAGGGCACTGGGCGGCAACTTGTGTTGCCCTGGAAGGAGGATGCAGATGTGTTTCAGACTCCAAAAGGGCTTCCTCTGAGTCACCAGTTTATTACCCCAGTCCCAAGTAAGCGTATCTGACTACAGCCTGAAACCATAAAGGGATCAACCATAAAGAACACTGGGAAAGTAAATACCTGGCCATTTTGGCTTCTTTGGCAGAAAGCAGGCCCTCCTTGTCAAGATTCACTCACTTAGCTAACACCTATTAAGCCAAACTGTGTGCCAGGCAGTGTTCTAGAAGCTGGGGGGACAGCCATGAGTAAGTCTCTGCTCTCAAGGAGGTCACATTCGAGAGTGGTGCCAGATGATAAAGATTTATATTATACAGTGGAAAAAGATGAAGGTTATTTCACTGCTGTCCTTAAGAGAGCAGCTGGAATCAAACTAGTCCTCCGACTTTAGCCAACGATAAAATAGGACTAAGTAGGAAACGAACAAGTCAAAGCACAGCGCTGTGATGCTTGAGAGAAAAAAACCAGATGAAGTAAGTTTTCTGACTAAAGGCAATGAATGCCCACCTTCTGACTGAAGCCAACAGCTAGACTGTGGAGTGGGAGTGGGAGCCCAAACTAAGCCCGGTCTTACTGAAAGGAAAAGGGAAACTGAAGTTTGGGGATGAAGTATATGGGTCAAGAGACCAGAGATGGGGAGATATATAGAGGAATTCTGGGATCCTTTATGCAAAATTTTGCATATTTGTTTCCCTTGAATGTTTGGCCAAATACTAGACTGTACACATGCAGGTCAAGTCCAACAGTATCAGGGGAAAAAAACAATTTCCAGGAGAAGAATTACCTGGTACATTAGTTTCCTAGGACTGCTATAAGAAATTACCACAAAATGGATGGGCTAAAGAAACAAGAAATTTATGCTCTCAATTCTGGAAGTCTGCAGTCAGCCTCACTGGACCAAAATCAAGGTGGTGGCAGAGCCATCCATGCTCCCTCCAGAGGCTGCAGAGAATTCATTCCTTGCTTCTCCAGCTTTCTTTTGACAGCCAGCAGTCTGTGGCTTGTGATGACTGTAACCTCTGCCTTCTCTTCTGTCTCCCTTTTATAAAGATACATGTGATTGCATTTAGGGCCCACCCAGAAAATCCAGGATAATCTCCCCATCTAGAGATCTTTAACTTAATCACAACAATAAAGTTAACTTTGCCATATAAGCTAACATAGGTTCCAGGGACGAGGACGTGAATTTTATTTGGCGGGCCATTTTCTAGCTTACCATCCCTGAGAAAGAAAATTTACCCTAAAATTGTACATTGAACAAATACAAGATTTGCACAAAGGAGGGAAATGTTTCAGTTGTGTCTATCTAGAGTGGGGGGACCAAGCTGAATATCCTGTGACATGGAAAAGAAAGGTCACCCTTCAGGAGTAGGACTCATCTAGCAAGACAGTCAAGGCCATAAAACCTACTCTAACAAAAACAGGGACCAAGCTGATTGGAATGTAAATCAATTGCCTAATGGAACAAATTCAACACTTTATTAAGGAAGGCAACAAATTCCAGGTACTCAACAATGTAATACATAATGTGAGGCCACAGTAAAAAGTTGCTAAACATGTAAAGAAGTAGGAAAATGTGACCCATAAACAGGAGAAAAACAAATAAATAGAAAAAAAGAGATGATGGAATTAGTACAAAAAGGACTTTAAAACAGTTATATTAAGTATGTTCAAGGATTTAAAGGAACACAGAAATGTAATGAAGACACAAATAAGGAACGTGAATTAAAATATGGAAATTATGAAAACTTATCAAATAGAAATTTTACAACAGAAAATACAGTATCTGATGTGAAAAATCAGAATTGTCCTCTATCTATTAAAGAAACTAAATTCATTATTATGAGAGAAAACTCCAGATCCAGATGGCTTCACTGGTGAATTTTATCAAAAATTTAAGGAAGAAACAATACCAATTTTACTCAAACTAAGAAATGAGAAGAGAAGGAAGGGACACTTCCAAACTCATGTTATGGCCCAAACTACAGGCATTGTAAGAAACCTACAGTGGAATATCCTTTATGAATATGAATGCAGAAATCATTATTAAAATATTAGCAAATTGAAAGAACTATATATACAAAACATATGAATACCAAGGAGTGATTTGTTTCAGAAACATAAGGTTGTTGTGAAACTGAAATCTCAAGATAATTCCCATGTTAACAGAGGAAAGAAGAAAAACCATATGATCAACTCATTAAAAATCATTCGACAAAATGCAACATCATTTACAAAAGTCTTCAGGAAACTAGGAAGAGAAAGGAAAATCTCTCATGCTGGTAAAGGACATTTAGGAAAACATACAGCATTTTATATACTTAACAGTAAAATAGTTAATACTTTCTCCCTAAGATCAGAAACAATGCAAGGATGTCCATTCTTATCATTGTACTGGAGATGTTAGCCAACAACAAAGGAAGAAAAGGAAATAAAAGTTTTAATTTTCTTCTCTGTAGATGACAACTGCATATGGAGATAATCTCAAGAAATCTACACAAAACCACTAGAGTTGGTGAATCAATTTAGCACAGTACAGAATACAAGGTCTATATACAACATTTCTACGTATGTAAATACAACAAACAATTTTGGGAAAAAGGCTATTTGCAATAGGAATTAAAAATATGAAATACATAGGGATATATTTAAGGATATATACACAAAACCTCTCCACTCCAAACTACTAGCAATTACTGACGGGTATTAAATAATAGCTAAATAAATGGGTATATCATGTGTATGGACTGAAGAACACAATTTTGTTAAGATACCAATTTTCCTCAGATTGATTTACAGAATCAATGCAATGCCAATCAAAATCCTATTTTTTGGAGGAGAAAGGGAATCACGGAAAGAAATTAGTAAGCTGATTCTAATATTTATATGAGAATACAAAGGATGTAGACTAGCCAAAACAATCTTGAAAATAATAAAAGAAAACTTGCGCTATCTGATTTTAAGACTTCGAGACTGCAAGATTCAAGATTGCAATCCATAGTAATCAAGCCGATAGGATAGAAAAACTTATGGTGCAAAAGAATTGAGTCCAGAAAAAGACCCATACTAATACAGCATATTGCTTTTGACCACAGCATCAAAACAATGAGTAAAGAAAAATATTTTCTTTAAATAAATGGTACTGGGACCATTGATTTTCTATAGAAAAACAAAACAAAACAAAAACAGACCTTGATTTCTACCTCACACCACACAAAATCACACACACATAAAAATCAAAGACAGATCATACATAAAAATGTAAAAGCTAAAATTACAAACATTCTACAAGCAAACATAGAAACTATATTTGCAAATTTGGTACAGGCAAAGATTCACTAGACAAGACCCAGAAAGAACTAACTATAAAAGGCAAAAAAATGAATGAAACAAAACAAAAGCTACTGTTCATCAAAGACAACACTAATAAATAGGCAAGCCCACAAACTGGGAGAAAATATTCCCAATATATACATCTGTTAAAGGATCTGTATTCAAAATATAAAGAACTCCTATCTCTACAGAAGTATGTAAGTTTTACCTAAAAAACAAAACGGAACAAAACCCTACATAATGATATGCATGCTGAAGTGTTCAGAGAGAAAATGTCTGCAACTTACTCTGAAATACACTAAAAATAAAATGGATTGACAGATGTATAGAGGGATGGATAAACATGTAATAGAAGATAGTAGAAAAAATGTAACTATTTCATTTTTAAAAATGGGCAAA